ATTTTTTAGGATTAGGAAGGTTACACTTAAGATTATATACATTAAAAATGTTCTTATTAAATTTTCAAATTTGCTTATTAAGGGTATTTCATTATATGTTTGTCATTAAGAAATGATAGTAAAATTCATTTTTTGTTATATAAGGGTTATTGTGACTATCATTCAGTAATTATCAATGTAATTTATATTACGAAATTTCAAGAGAAATTGTTTTAATATTTCACAATTCAGTAGCCAACCCAAATTATTACACCTATGGGAGATCTTACTTTCCACAGAAATACTAATATTATGGCATATAAACATTTTACGCTTTTTTGACAATTCTGAAATGTTGCCGTCAAGTTATGTAATAATCTAATTTTAAGCAAATACTTATTAGCTAATTTAAAAAATTTTTAATTATTTGCTTAATTTTAAAAAATACTTTTTAAATGATTTATGTAACATATGTAATTAAAGTTTCATTAGTACGTGTATTAAATCTTCAGAAAAAGATGTAAAGTGTAGAATGCGCCAAAGATTAAAAATTTTAAAAACTTTAAGTAAGTATATGTTAATAAAAATAAAAAATAGGTGGAAAATTGGGAAAAAGAAAAAAACAGGGATTAAAATGGGAAGCGACAGAGCGAAAGACTGTATGAAACGATACCGTGGGAGAAAAGGAATACGAATAGAGACGCGTATGGCAAGATGGAACGAGGGAATGTGGCGAACCCGCGAGTTGAATCCACGCGGGCGGCCTTGCACGTCGCCTTGCTTGTATTGATCAGCAAGCTTGACAGCCCCGTAGCGTTACGATGGGCGCCTTTGCTCACTGATTATTTCGTCGCGTCGACACGATAGGCGCCACTGTGCGTCCTTAACTTCCGAATCGATTCTTTTCGAATCTTTTGTCTTTAAAATAGCAGAATAATCCCTGTTATAAATATAAATTACTTGTTTTTTTTCCGATAATTATTAGAATGTTTAGTAAAATAATTATTAGAGTGTTGAATAAATTTTTGTGATATTTATTAATTGAAAGTAAATATCGAGATGTAATGTCAACAAGGAAATGTATAAATACGATTTTTCTTCTCTCTCTATCTCAAATACGATCAAGAGTAATAATTTGCTTATGATGATTGATATATTGCTTTTTTGTTTATAGCATATACAAATACTACTGAGAAAATTAAGTATTTTCTAATTTTTAGTCAATAGTCTAAATCTTGTACGTTGTACAATACAAAAAAAAAACACAATTTTTAATACGGTCAAAATTTAAAAATTAAAGAAAAAGAACAATATTAGCGATAAATGATAAAAGGAATCATCAAACTTTATACTAGTTTTTCTATTTAAAACTATATCAAGTTTCCGCTCTTATTTGAATTTGTTCCGGTTATGTCAGCTGGCAATGTGACGTAAGAAAAGGCGCGCGTTTGATTGGTTGAGAAGCGCGCGACCTGCTCGCGACTGCGCGTGCCTTTATTACTCCAGCAGACACATCGTGGCGCCATACGATAGACAGACGTGCTTAAGGTGGCGCCGCGGTTTATATACGTTATACCAAATAACGAGGAAGTGTGTAAAGATACTTTATTTTGTTCCATCATTATTACTACTGACAGTGTCGACATTACCATTTTTAAACAACAAAAAATGAGGAATATTATACACAGTCATTAAATAAATAACAACATAACCTTAAAGTATTACAATTTGAAAAATTGTTTAAATAGATTATACACTATCAAAACATAACATGTAATTAACTGTTTTATCTAAAACACTAATAATCTTTCTGCAGTGATCGAGGCAATTATACAGTAAACAAGAAAAATACAGTACAAAATCTATTAAAAAACTATTAATGAAAACTATAATGTATTAATGATTGTTGAAATATGCCAACAATTATGTTTGCTAATGATTCAAAATAAGTACAATGCCTTCCTCCTTTTCTATCAAGTTTTCTCTTTCCATCTCATACAATTTATGTTCAATTATATTTTTTTACACATGTGATGCAACTTATGTAAAAAAAAAAACAAATGACAAATATTCTTAAAACTGACGAAAACTATACGCAAATTATGCTAAAACTGATAAACATACATAGTTTTACATTATTTAGAATACCCAAGAAATTTCATGACATAATAATTATCATAATATTACTTTGTTTAAAATACATATGTATTTGTGCAGTTATGCATATGGAAAACTGGAAATATAAGAAAGAAATTTAATAAATTAGTATAACTATAAATACATGACATAATTCATTTATTCAAAGTAAAGTAATTACTACTGTAATGTCAGTCGCAGGTTAAACATTGTAATATCTTGTTCAATGCTACATAAATTTGTGTTTTGGTTATATTACAATTTTTCACTGCATGTAAATTTTAATAGATATATCAAAATGAAAATTAAGTAATTTATTCCATATGTAATTTACTCCATTTATTAAAATTACAATTTAATCAAATAAAAGATAAATTACTCAATTTGTATAAAATTCTTCTGTTAATGACGTTTAATATCAAACAATTTTTATACCATACAGTGTATAGATATTTATTGGTATGATTTATGACAGCGTGGGTATTTACTGTTTAAATATATTTCATGTTGTAAATATTATTTAAAAAGTTAATATTATTAATAAAAATAGTAATATATAAACATAGTTTTCAACTTACTATCTAGTATCTTCTTACTTTTGAAATAAATATAAAGTATTATTTATAAATTCTATTTCGTTTATTTAATCAATTTTGAATGATTCTGTAATCGATCTAAAATGTTCTATAAAAATATTCTAAATATTTTGAACAAAAACAAAATAAGTACATGGTTACTGTAAATGATTAAATTACTGTTATTTTCAACAGTGCGTGTAATTAACACAAATACTATTTCTACGCATGGATCATGAAACAATGCACTTTAAGTGTTCACAATCGATTTTAAACTATACATCGAAAACTCGTGAAGAACATCTACTAAACGTATAGAAACTAACAAAGAATATATGAATCAGGTGCGTTAGAGATATCGGACTAGGGTGAATGAACTCTGACTAACCAAGATAAGACATTTTTCCTTAAACACCGACCTTGGATATAACTAGATTGCGATTAAAGTATTATTTATTATGCTTTTTCCTTCCTATCAAACATAAGTTCATTGACGTTTTCAGAAAGTTTGATGTAACGGAAAATTTAAAGTTCAGTACAGACTTATGCGTACAACGGGAAATCATAACGTTTCATTATGGATATTTGTGTAGATATTTATACTTTATTCATCGCTTTCACTTTTTATTTAGTACATCTCTTTCTCTTGATACGCGTTGTATGTTTTGTACAATTTCTACATATCAACAATTTAACATTTTATTCTTCTGTGTCTAATTTTAATAAAATGTAAATGTTCAATTAGTTTCAAACTTCTCTTGAAATTTTAATTACAAAAAGTTGTGTTTTTTGTCTAAATTATGTTTCTAAGCACATTTCTATTTTTTTAAAATGTTTGAATAATATGACGAAATTGTGATTACTAATAACTTCTATTAACATTAAATTTTATTAAATGTCTTACTAATGATAATATTATCACTGAAACTTCCAAGAATTGTGTTTTTTCAATGATTATGATTTTACAGTTAATATTCCATTAACAAAAAATCAATAATTTTTTATTAAAATTTTCTCAATCTTAATGACATTATTTTTATTACTGTTTAATACAAATCGTTTTAATTACAATTCTTTGCTGTCGAATGAAATTAGTAAGAAAATATTATAATTACTATTGTTATTATTTGCAATATATTTTCAAGTTCTTATTTCGTCGATACATTTCATCGATGCATCCGTATATTAAAGGAGAATCTTATTGTTCACGGTTAAATCAACGATTTGTTACGTTGCGTGACAAATGGAAATAGAATGCGGCGAAAGTTCAAGGACCGACCTTTCTCAACGGTCAACGAATGTTCCAATACATTCCCTGCAGTCCCTAACCTATCTTCGCTAATTGGTAGAGTTTGCACAAGTGTTGTATTATACATGTAAATTATACATTTCATCGAATACACGCGTTAATAAATTTAATCATTAATATTATTAATATGAAAGTAACTTGATTGTTCATATATATCGAATGTATATAAGCTTTAATTACGTTTAATATTTGTAGTCAAATATCATTGAAAATGTTTGTCATCTAATTAGTTTAATAACTTAATTTTTTAACTGATACAATGAAAATACGTGAAAATTATCGTTATAGCAAATTTAAATACATCCATTTATATCTTTATCTAAAATTTTAGCTAAAAATTAAGATACAATATCTACTTTTCATAATAAAATTGTCACATTGCAATATTTTAATATCTTATCAATGATAAGTTCTAAAAATAATCATATACAATTCGAGCTATTACCCAGTAGTAACGAAATTACATGCATTTTTATAAAATAAGAATGTAAATCCTGTAATATCTAGAAGTAATTATATTCAACCCACGAATAAATATGCCGATAATCGTGAAAGTGGCCTCGTACACGTGTTTCAAAGTATTTAAATCTATTATAATTTTAAAAAATTAATTACGAAAAAGCTATAAACGCAATCTAACGCTTCAATGTTTTACTATTTTATCAAACATAGTTTTATTTTATTTTAACGTGAATGAATGTAAAAGTAACTTGGACTACTTTTATAATTACCAGCACAAATATAATATCCAGAAACATTATTTTGTTTACACATTGACTGACTCGCCAAATTATTTCTCATACTTCATCAATTGTATCTCCATTGAATGCACTCTTACGATAGAGAATAAAAACCTTCATTGTAGAATATAACCTATATTTGCTAGAATGTTATCGGAACACGTTCTTGGGTTGATTTGTATGCAAATAAACTTAATCCATTGTACTCGTTAGAAGTTTTAGAAAATTGATTAACGGATAATTTTACTGTTTCATGGGTAGACGGACCTCTGCGGCATCAAATGGAAGAAGCTCGTGTGGGGCGAAGTAGCCGGCGATTTCGGGGGCACCCCCCTTGAGGACCCGGTGTTGTCGAGCTTCTCGCGGTGCCTCGCGGGTGACATTCTGTGCGTGTGGCGGCGGGTCGCCGCTACGCCGTCCACCTCCGGCCCGGCAACCGCCTCGGCAACCGGAGCTGGCATCTACGACATGGGCGTCGCACCCTCACCCGCACCGCCACCCCTCTCCCTTACCGCCGCCAAGGAACTCTGGATTTTCTGGTATGGCGAGGAACCTGATCTCTCCGGTCTCGTGTCACCGGAACTCATCGCGTGTGGTGAGTAATGAAGCTCTTACTATCTGCACGAACAGTTTTAATTCCTAATAGACACATTACGATTCATGGATGTTTACCCGTCTGTCGAATATAGAGTTTATGCATCAAAATCGATGATAAAGCAGGTTACTAATTGATCGACCGCAAACGACGTGGATTTTTCAAGACAGTTCATAAATTAGTTAATTAGAGATTGCCAAAACGAGTTTATTCAATTTTAGAGATTTCGTTATTGCAATGGTTTGGATTATGAGTAATGTAATGCTCCTAGGTGATTCTACTGGGTTGATCTACTTCGGTGTTAAGGATTGACAGTGTGGGAAAATGATAGTACTTGTGATTTGTGAATTTTGTTGTAAGTTTCTTTCTATTTTTGGACATATTCACTCTCTTCTGATCATTTGTAAAACACGAAGCAAATTCGAAGACTATTCGTTTTTGATAGTGTGATATCTTTTCATATACTTGGTTTATTTGAAAATTTTATTTGTACCAAATCGTAAATTCTCATTATAGTACGATAAAGTGGAATTGTTACTAAAGAATTTGAAAATAAAAATGTGTTCTTTTGATAGGTGTCAAATAGTTTAGATATAGGGTTCAGTAAATTATTTTACTTTGGTACATATATATCTATAATTAATATTACATATATTAAAATAAAATTTCCTTGTCAAGTGAAATAACAGATCAACTTCCTTGAAAAACATTCTATGCAATTAATTATTTTTACAATAAATCTTTATAAAAAATAATTAAATTTGTATCTTTGCTTATAAATGCCACTATATGTTAAAGACATTTTAAAAATGATTATTTAGAAATGTGTACTTTTTACTTATCTTATCTGTTTCGCAGTTACAATCATCTTCCCTTTTATCTTGCGTCTATATTATAGGTAATTTAAAAAATATAAGAAATAATACGCAATAATAATTAGTAAGTTTATCACTTCTTTTTTGCTAATCAGTAATCGAAGACTACTGCACAATTTGTATCCTATTTTTTTATCAATGTACATAACTTTAAGGTACAAAATTAAAATAAGGAAATAATAAACGATTTATATCAAATCTCGCAGTACAAACCAGAATTCATTAAAAAAGTATTGTCACAACTTAGCGAATTTTCCATAAAGAAGTATAAGAAATATTTTTATCGAGTTTGAATTAAAATCTAATATGTATTTTTATAATTTATATTTTACTTTCTATATATTTTTTTTTATTTTTATAGTATATGTTATTTAATATACAGTCTACAGATTTTTAGTATAATTAAAAATGTCAATAATAGTATAAATATTTAACTTTCCAATCAGTATTATTTTTTGATAGAAGTATAATGGGATATTTTAAATGAAGTATTACATCATAATATTTATTAAATTTATTACTTATTTAATTTATAATATTTTAATTACTTCCTTTTCATACATATGTAAATGTGAGAAACTAAAAGTATGAAAAATTTGTATTGTCCATTTAATTCAGTTGTATCAGTTCAACTGTATCAGTTCAATATTAAACTGAATACTTAATCAGCAAATGACTAAATGAAAAGAGAAAAGAGAAACAAAGAGACATACGTGTTGAATGAATTTTACTCTAAGTTATATAATAGAATTCTTTTATCTACATAGAAATATTCCTTTATCTATATAACGAAATTAGATAAGAAGTAATAGATAATTATATTATAGTTTTTTGGTTAATAATAGCGAAACATACTGAAGATATTCTAAACTGACTGCAATGTATTGTAACAACGTCTTCTCATGCGTTAATAGACAAATAGTATTAACCTTAACCTTAAAATTTCTCCAGTACATATCATACATGTTCATATATTTTTCTCTCAAAGTATAGATCGTATTTCTCGACTTATCGGGTTGGATTCCATATACAAATTTTTATGAGAAAGTTAAATCGAAAACTAGCAAAAAATACACTCTCTTTAAGCAATAAATTAATGCAAACGATTTTTTTTTTTTTTTTTTTTTTTTTTTTAAACATACAAGGTAATATGAGGTTGAATACGAATTCGAGAATTTAGATATGAGTTCTTTAATTTAATAAACGTGGTGCACTGTTAGAAAACATTTTAATTTAAATTAAAACATTCAAATAAAAGATAAATTTATAAAAAACGAGAAAAATAATCTATGTTTTAATGAATAAAAATTCGAGCTTTAATGTTTCCGGATTATTAAACAGATTCAGACTGACAGATTTTTATTTCATACATCTAATATCTAAATAACTATACGACTATACGTATTTTTCCGTTCCAACTAAATGCGACCTAGTTTTCCATCAGATTGTGGTAGAAAATGTGATGTTGGTATGGTTTCGCAACAGTAAATATATGAAAAGTGAATCTTTCAAATCGAAATTAAATATTAACAAGCAAAAAGTACCTTAATATTGTATATAATATTATAATTATTATACAATAGGATATAATAACATTATATTTTAATTAATAGAATATTTATAATATAATGATCAATATCGATATATTACATTACAATATTGTAATCTTATTTATATACAATCTTATATATATATATCATAAACAACTTTACTAATTAAAGTAAAAGATCATGGAAATGTTAATTGCACTACAAATATTCTACAAATATTTATTGATTCCAGAAAAATTGTAGATTATGTTTAAAAAAGACGGATTAATCTAACAAATAAAAAAACGAAAAGATATAAATTTATTTATCTGGTGAGATTATCGCCAAAAGAAAAATGATTGGTCTCTTGAGTGATAGATCAGTTCGAAAACGATACATCGCAAATTCTAGTGGACGTCGTTGTAGGAAATCCCGTATGCTTTTGTTTCGGAGAAAGAAGGTGTGCAAAGCGAGCGAAGCGGTAACGTTGGCTAGACCGTGTTTCTCCGCACAGGGTCGCTGAACCATGTACTTGTCTGCAACTCGGTGCGAGGCAATGCAAGGTTCCATTATTGTGCATCGCAAGGAGTACACCAATTGCGGAACTAACTGGTAAACCGTTATTCCTAGATAAGTTAAATCTTTTGGGCAGTCTGGGAAAGAAAAATTTGTTTAAATATGATATATGAAAGATGTAAATGGGTTATTGATAAACGTAAATAGGGGAAAATTTTTCTTTCCATTGAGATATTACAAGAAACTAACTTTGCTATGTTAAAGATATATTTAAGAAAAATCATAATACAACATATTATCGCACGATAATGGAAAATGATTTCCTTTGAACATAAATATCCAAAAGCTGCAAATAATGTCCTTGCAACATTTTACATATGTATATATAACTTTTATATAAGAAAATTAGTTATAATTATTAACAATAAAATCTTAAGGTTTTTTTTCTACAAATTTGCATGGAAAATATTTATAAAATTTTTATCGAATCTAATATAATTATATGGATTAATATTGCATACAACATTACGAAGGATATAGTAATTTTTACAACGTTTCGAATACCTGTAAATTTTGTAATATGTATATATATAAATTATATGACATAAGACGATGTAATTTGTCTTGTTACAATATTAATTTGTTTTAGAAAGTGAGATTGATATACGCCTCGCATTCACAGAGCCTCATGTTCATGAAGCGTAAAGTTCATTACTATTTTACGAGTAAAAGAAAATTATATTGTACAACGCAAAATTAAACTTATTTTTTGTAAAACAAAAGTACAATGTGTTATTATTACATCATAAAATAAAGTAGTGATTTTCTCGTCGATCCTGGTTCATGAATATAAAATTTTAAAACTTCCTAGTTTTCTCGGTCAACGTTTCTTTTAACTTACTCAACGGTCTGCCTAGTGTCGACGTGACTCGCTGTAATTTTATACACGAATTGCATTACTTTCACAGTGGAATCAACCGTTTCTTTCGACTAGTAAGAATGGGCATTGCCTTGATTCGATGAAGAAAGTAGATCGCTAAAAAATAACAAAACCAACCTGTTTCTAGAGTAAAATTCAGTTCGTTTTTGTTTACTATAAAAATCAAATTTACAGCAGATATAATTTTTATTTAATTTCTGTAAAAGTGTTAATTGTTTGTATAAATGTATATTTGTCAAAATATTTCTCAGATATTTTTTAATACATTCAACAATCGATATGAATTATATTAAGGTTTCCAAATCTTCAAGTATTGTATGATAATATAAAGATTATTACATTGTGGTATATATAAATTAATTGTTTCCTAATGTAAATGTTTATTGTGATTACAGAAAGTGAACAGGGTTCTTGGGAAAGCGGATTATCGTATGAGTGCCGGTCACTTCTTTTCAAGGCTCTGCACAACTTGATAGAACGGTGCTTACTATCTCGTGATTTCGTTCGCCTAGGAAAGTGGTTCGTACAACCTTATGATGGATTTGAGAAACATCGTTGCAGTAGGTACGTTCTATCGTGTCTGTTACTAATATTTTTTACTGTGTTAAAATAAATAATTTACAAACATTATAACATAATTAAATGCTACTTGTTTTATAAATTGATCCAAGTAATTTCGTTATTATTTACAGTAACCACTTGTCATTCTCGTTTGCATTCTTTGTTCATGGAGAAAGCACTGTATGTGCAAGTGTGGATGTTAGGCAGCATCCTGCTGTACGACATCTTACAAGGACTTGCTTACAGCGCACCCAAACTTCCCAAACTGGTGTTAAAGGTAAACATTTAATATAACTTATGACGTTATCATTGTTGAGAAGTCAAATTAAAGTAAATTTACAAGTCACTATAATTGATGTATTTAATATATGAATGGTACATTTAACTATTTGATGGATTTTATAATCTTCTTGCAGTGATCCTAGCCCCTTATGGACTAGCAGGCACATTAACTGGTCCAGTAGGACGTACAGATAGTCAACTTCTCGAAGAATGGAAACACTTTTATCCAATCAATGGCAGTAACATAGAAGCAGGACTTCCACCTCTAGTAGAAGTGCTTGTTGGTGGTGTTCGCATGCGTTATCCCTCTTGTTATGTCCTGGTCACAGATATGGATGACACTCCTCTTGATACTCCTCTTTCTCCACCAAGTAGTCCTGCTAGTTGCGAACATCCTCTCCTAAGTCAGCAGGATACAGAATTACCAGAACGTGTATGGGCTGAATGTACTTTGAGTTCACCAATTTCTGCTTCCAAGACAGAATCTTCCACAGAACCTGGAACTTGGACCTTTATCGATCCAACACAAAAGTCTTCCTGTACCTGTTCAAAGTAAGTGAAGCTTTGTTACAACTATCACTAATGAATTTTAACTTTTACTGCATTGTATATGATATATTAACTTCTGTACAATAGTCTATACAATAGGAAAAAGTGACAGAATTTCACATATTCTATTTTGGTGCAATTTAAGAAATTACTTCCTTAAAAATAATATGTCTTGCTAAATATTATTAAAATATAATTTTTATTTTAACACATATTTCCCTAAATATTAGCTTTTTATTAGTTATTTTTACTTTATTTTGTTCATGTATCTCCACAATATAAATAAAAATTATAAGACAATGCAGTAATAGTGACAGTAGTAATAACACTTCTATCCAATGTTTGTAGTATTAAATGAAAGTATATATAAAGAATGTATAAGATAATTGTTAGATTTTTAACTATTATTTCCTCTGCACATTTATTCAGTGTAGCAGTAAATATATACTTCTTTTGACTGCATTCTATGTTTACCTGATATTTAAAATAGTACTGTTCGCAATTATTATTGATTCTATCTGCATGTTATAGCACAATTTGTAAAATGTAGATTATTTAAAATATTACAGTATAGGTAGTAATTTTTTTATTGGCTGCTGCAATATATGCATGTAAATTTAGATTTTGAGAATGCCCAAAATGCAATTATTTCTTGAAATTAGTTCTCTTATTTATGACAACAGTCCTGTATTAAAGATTTTCACAAGAAGTAATATGAATTTTATTTTATTTTTTTTTTTTTTTTTTTTTACATTAACAGAGAAATTAAAACGAAATTAAAAGG